CCAAATGAAACCTTTAATTTGAACGTAAAGTCACGTCACATACTCGAATTCGAAAAACCAAAATTTCAATTCGAAAGGAGGCGGAAGTAAAAATACACAGGAACCGAGTAACGACTAGGTACGAGTCTACAGATGGAAGGCTTGGAACCTGAGTTTTCCTCATCTCTGATGTGATCATCGTCATGGCTGTTCGATGGCTACCGAACAATGAAGAGTTTTTCGTTGGACTGGTTAGACTGTTAGGGGCATCAGAAACTAATCTAAACTCAGCATCATATGATAATTCTGAATTTTTATTTCGTCGACTTGATGCTCACGAGAGATCTTTGTCAACTCTGCTAACAGTGTTGACATGCCTACACGACTCCTGCAGTTCGCGGATCAATAAATTCTAATAAAGCCTTCATAGCTTAGCTTTAACTAGGATGTCCTTTTGGAATTTTCCCTTACGATATGAGATGATGGGGGGCTCCTTAAAGATTTCTCTCAGTTGCGGTTGATTTTCTATAAGGTGCCACTTCCCCATGAGTGTGTCCTTTAGGTTAGGCAACGCCGGGTTGTATTGTGTTACAAAGGGCAGGATTTTCTTGGGAGCGGTTTTGTTTTTCTGCGCTAGCGACATTTCTCTGTCAGAGAATTTAATCTCTGAAAGGTGTTTTTCTACTATTCTAGCTGGGCTCCTGGTAATCTCTATTCTGCAGGCCTGCGTGTTTTGAAATTACTCATGTTTTCCTGAAAGTAAATTGAGAGGAATTTGTTCTCAGAAGCCTTAACGCTTCTCCTTTTATTAAGTTTAAGTTTGCCACTACTCACCCGCATTCACATTGTCCGCTGTTCGAGTGAAGGGAAATCTTTTCGCGCCAAATTGCAGTTATGCAAACATCCCGTATGTACAGTGTAGCGAAACTCTTAGCATTTCCGGTTCCTGTGTATTTTTACTTCCGCTTCCTTTCGAATTGAAATTTTGGTTTTTTGAATTCGAATATGTGACGTGACTTTAAGTTCAAATTAAAGGATTAATTTGGAATTTTGTGGAAGATTATGGTTGCATTGTTGACGATTAAGTAGCTTGTTAGAGTGGAGAAGGTGAATTGAAGTTCAAATCATGTAATTTGCATTTTAGTTGGAATGGTGATTTGAACATCCGCGATGTCGAGTTTTCCCTTTATAGTTTCAACTTGTTCAAAGTAACTTTAAGTTCGAATGATGCTATTTCGACTGTGTTCATTGCGATTTCAAATTCATATGACGAGATTTCGACATGGATAGTCTAATTTTTGAACTTCAAATTGTCTTTTATTTTCAATTATTTTTGTCCGCAAATGTACGCCATATTGTGTTTCTCTGTTTCAAGGTTCGTTGCTTGTGATCGTAATTATGATTGACGGCAGCGATAAACACAATTGTGAAGGTGGCTTTTGAACTTTAGAGTTCTTATGTTTGTGAAAAGCGCAGTAAAGTCTCCGTGCAGTGAGTGAGGCCCCTGGATCAGGCGGGATCAATGGGCAGTTAACTGTCTGTTTTAGTATACTTCTGGTTTTCATACAATACAATATTTCTGTCTAGTGTAAATCAGCTCAGTCTGTCGCATTTTATGCTCGTAGAAGGACAACAATTTTTGGAATTTCCGGTTACGTCAAATTAGTCACGTTATACTGTCACGCTTTATTTTGGGGCACAGAGGGATTGGGGGAGGGGTGCGTGGAAATAATGCAAATTGTTTCCTGTTTAGAATTAATGGCTAACTTGTTTATTTTTATTCATAAAAATGGTACTCACTTAAAAATGGTACTCTTTTTTTTTGGTTACGAAAATCTTTCAAAAGGGTACAATGTTCTAAATGAGTTTATGTTTCAGTCTCACATGAGATTCTGTTGCATGCAATGGTTGGCGACAAGGTTTTATGGTAGCCTGAGTGTGTATAGCCGCCCCCTCCCCTCAGAAAAAATAGCCCCTGTGCAGCCCAGTTAAAAATCGCCTTTCGGAGATTCTTGTTTCAGCCAAAAATCCGGCGCTCTTTGCTACTAGTAGGCTATAACATACTGCCTAGTAGTAGCTCAACCAATCAGAACGCAGCATTGATAATAGACCACTAGTTGGATTTTACTAATGGCTCATATGCCATGATAGCTAAGCCAATCATAGCTCTAGAATTGCATTATCCAATAAGTCAGTTTTTAACAATAGGCCATATACCATAAAATCGATCATGTATAATTCTTAGATCTTCGATTCCAAATATGGTAAGCGGCGGTTGGTTATGAAGAATTAGTCGAGGGATTGGAGCTAATCATGAACGTGCGAAATATATTATCAATGAATACTAAAATTGCTGCATCGCTGCTGCTACCTTTGTGCCATCGATCTTCATGACCAGTGTCCATCCACCTCCTCCGCATGCTCCAAGCTCAGCAGCTTGCATGTGACAGTAAACAGGAATTCGTTTAGACTCCACATTCAGGAAGTAGGCTTTGTTTTCCCACTTCCTAGTAAACGGATATTTATATAATGATATATTTTTGAGGCACTGAATGAAATCAAGCAAGATTTGTTTTCTCTGCATGTTTTAGTAAGGGACCGTCCTCATATTCAATCAGATGCAAAAAAACGATTGGATTTAGAGACATATTAGCACCCGTTAGGAGACGGTAACTAGTTGAGATTACTATATTCACCGGGTCGTTTTTCAACAGATAGATAAGATACCCATATAAGCCCATTCCTGTGTTTTTCGAGGAAAAATTAGTTTTGACAATCTTTGTACTCGGTAGTGTTTTCAAGTAATTACGCAGCATACCCACGTACCGAATGATTGATTTTCCTCTGGTAACTAAGTGTGATCGGTAGGAATCAATGGCAGATAATATATTGTATTTGAATATATCTCTAGTAAGTTCGAAGTGTTTATTCGACGTCTGGTTATTTGATAAGGGTGGGATGGACGATAAAATAGCCATGATTGCTATGCGCAGGAGGATTTTCAGGAAAAATGTTCCAACTTCTAACACACAGCAAAGCTGGATAGCATCGCTAAATCTGTTCAGCAGATTCGTTTCCCATATACCCATAAGGGTCTTTGAAGAATGTACTTTACAGTAGAAACTATGAGGTCAGGAGGAGACTGGCCACGAGTAACCACGAGTAACCAACTTTGTTCTTAAAAGATAATCAGATTATTTTCTTTTATACTCATCGTGGTTACTCGTGGTTACTCGTAGTTACTCGTGGAAATTCCTCCTAAAGAGCAATTTTAGCCATTAAAACTACTTTAATGTCTAGAAATCTATTAAGTTTCCTATCCTTTTCACTTTGTTCTTTGTTTCGATGCGTTTGGATAAAGGGGAGAATAAGAAATCGTGCGCGACGCGCCACTTCGCACGACGTCAAGGCAATGTTAAGCGTGACACGAAATGTCACGCACTGAAAATAACGAAATCGTCTTATTCTAATTGTTCTAAAATAGGTATGATGAAGTCGAACACAACAAATAAAAAGCCACCAGGGGTCTTACATCCCAGCATCCCAGCAATTAACTTTCTAAAGGACGTACGGCCACTTTTGAGATTCAGACTATCGGCGTCAAAATTGTTGAGACATTGTACTTAAATAGGGTTACTTCCGAGAACAAAAGAATCCGCACCCCTCCCCTGTCCCCTCCATTCAAAGTTGGGGTGTTCGTTGTTTTCTATAGGTAGCTAGAACAAGGGCACAACATTGCACGGAGGGGATGGGGGAGGAAAGCTATATTTCCTCCTTTTGAAGTTAATAAAACGTAAAAAAGCCCAGTTTTGGGCGAAGTGTCTCAACTCATTTTGTCGCCGATTGTAGCTAGCAACTCTGCAGCCCTTATTAATCGTTTTAATAAAAAACAGCTGATTCACCTTATCCCCTTTAGAATTAGACAACACTGGCCCACATGGGCCTACAGTTATCCGGGGGGATACTCCCTTATATAAACCATGTAGATATGTGCCGCCCCAAACGCCGTAGGGTTTTGGTCTGAAAACGGGTATGAACTTTGCCCATTTTGGTCTGGAATACGGTATGGTTTTCGAGGGAACTACGGGAGTATATGGATGTATTTACCGTTTCACTTCCAAATGAGTAAGAAAGAAAGAAAAAATATGCGAATTTGAAATGATTTTACAGCAAGGAGCCCAAAAGTGTGACCTCCTTTAATTAATTATAACTCACATCCTTTCATGCAGACATTAACCAATCAGAGGTCGAGGACAGTTTCCAGCTGGCTTCTGAATGGATTCAATCTCAGTATACAAAAGAATGTAAATAATATAAATCAGAAGCGGTCACACCTTTGGGCTCCTTGTGTAAGAATTCATTTTTGTTGCTGTTCTAGTATAAGTAATGATGACATAATTTCTTAGAGGCCAGGTCTGAAAACGGGTGTGAAAAATGGCATTTTTTGCTCTGAAATAGGGTCAGGATTGGGAGAACTGAGCGGCACACCCCCACCAAGAATTCCCAGGAGTACCCCCGCCGGGAAAGTTATCTGGGCGCCTGGTTATATTAATATGCAGAGAACGCCCTTGTATTAGCTTGAACCTAAAGAAAGATACTAAAACAATAAATTATGACAAAAGTTGGGTGTTACAAGGCGAAACCATAGAAGTAACAAGGGATGTTGCTAAAACTGCGTAGTTATTTATGTTGTACTCACGATCCTTTCTCAAAGATTTCTTTGCAACTCGATCCCGATTGTCCGCAACCTGAGTGAGTAGCTAAGTAAGTAAGAGTATAAAATAAGCCATTGATGAAGGAACGAAAAACGAACAAAGGAAGGCGACATTAAACGTTCTGTAGTTTTTTTGCATCGTTACCTTAATTTGTTTAAAGAAACATTTCCTCTATGTTCTTGAAATTAACCATTTCAATGCTAGAGTGAGTTGTGTAACTAGGTTGTTAAATAACTTTTGTATGTGTGTGTGTCTAAAATTCGGCGGTGTGATCATTTTTAAATGAAATTAACCTCTTTGGTAGTACATTTCAAGCTATTTCACAAGATACTATCTAATTCAATCAGTTTTGCTCACTATGCGAAATTTATTTTCTTCCATGTTTACCTAGCAAAATTAGAAAACAAAGTAACATCTAACACTGGAAAAAGTGTTGAAAATGACATTGTTATTGAACCGTTTATTTATGCATTGAACAGATAAATATTCTGATGTCATTGTGTATTATCCGAGACACGTCATAGCCTCGATTGCATCAGTTAGACTTACTGTGAACGTTGTGATTCGTTGTTTTTGTTTTTGTTGTTCAGACAACTGTTAATCTAAAAACCTAGAATTTAATTAAACAGGCAAAAAATCAACAATGAAAACTATCGGCATGTTCAGATCAGTACGGAAATTGGGACAGTTTCGGGAGGAAAGTACAGCACATCACAACAGGTCTAATTTGGCTGGACTAATTTGTACAGTCGGACTAAAATGCATCCCAGTGGGCTGGAATAGACATTTGCGAATGGGGCTGTCCTAGTTCTTGTGGTCAAATTATCCAGAACTTGCTGAATCGGATATTGGGCTACTTCGTATTACGGCTGCCCCTGTTCTGTATGTTCTCGGTCAATTGTATTCCTAGGCCGAGTTGTTCAAAGCTGGGTTAAGAAAACCCAGGGTTAGTGTGAGATTTGAATTTAAATTTGAAAGCTTAAAAAGCAGTTCAGTCTTTTGGTCTACTGAGTTGATGATTGGAGGCTCTAAAAATAACGGAGAAAATTATCTGAGAAAATGCTTTTGAATACAAGAAAAAGAAACCCGGGTTAAATTTAACCTCGGGTTAAGCGCTAATCGGCCTTCGAACAACCGGGCTTTGTGTAGCTCTTGAACTATACCGATTGATATTGAAGATTTTTATACATATTCCATACAATAGGTGGGATAAAAACAAGAAACGCAAGATTCCATGGACTGATTCTGGTCGATTTACACAGCTTTGATCAAAACATTTTCAGTTTCGAGAGTTTGTATATGATTATTAGAAGTGGTAATTTTTCCCTATTTCTTTGCACTTGTTTTACCTACACTTTGTTTTATTAGCTGAAAGTAAGCCCTTGATATTTAAGGTTTAATCATTCGACGATTCACGCCCGCATTGTGGTCATTTTTTTAATATTAGGGAAATTCTTTGATTTTAAAAAAACTTTATAGAGGCCGTGATAAAATCTATGAGCAAGGAATACGTCAGCACAGAATTTAATTGTCGACGAATTTCTGTAAGCCTCCATCGTTCTGCTGATAGACCTGATAAGCTAGTTTGATTTACACGTTCGAATTGGGAAACTTGCTTGTTTCCGGACTGAGTTTTATTTCCCCCAAGTGATTTGTTAGATTTATGTCTGGCAAATCGTTTCCAATCAAAGATTTTTGAATGATAAACTCGTGTCTGGCAAACCCTCCAAGTGCTTATACACAGTTACAAGCCCCTTATACCTTCATCCGCGCTTAACAAGTGTCCAGCTTTCCGTCCAAATCTTACAAAGCAGCTGCTTCATAGAATGTCACTGAACATGTTCAAGTTATTCAACAGGGTATCGAAGTGTGACTGTGCAATAAGTGTCGCAAAATCAACCTAGGAGGTCTCTTCGGGCGTAGCTGTTAAAAGTCTTCCTAACCATCTCTTACTTGCGGGAGTGCATAATTGAAACGTCATCATTACCCAACGATTCCTGATACGGCCCGTGTTCAAGCAAATCGAGATTTTTTCTGTATATAATATTTCAGTTGCAAGTACTTTTCTTAATATACGCGCGAGCTGCTAGGATGCCTCCTCGGGATTTCTCTCTCTGTGCGACATCCCTGCGGGGGCAATAAATTGACCCTTTGGGGCTGAAACATATCTTTCTAATTCGCAGGGCACTAATGAGACTAATACTTCCTTACATAGGAAAAGAATCAATCAAGGACCGTTTCTGGATTCTTGCCATGCCGGAAGGGGAGCTTACCCTGTACGAGTTCAATAATGCTATCCAGCTTTTCATCAAGTTTCTTGATCATACATGCAACTTGACTTATTTCTTCAGCACCACACGTGTCGTTTAAAACGGCGTCCAGGCCATTCACCGAGCATGCGCCTGCTAGCAACAATGTAACCGCCGTAGTCAACCAGAATTGCATGATGAGTCGAATTCACTGTAAACAAGGGATAAAAATGTAAGTGCTCATAACGTAAAAAAAATATTTTTTGTTTATTGAAAGTACACATTAGTACGAGACAAGAGCCATAATTTGTTTCGAATACAACGTGATCTTTGTAGGATTTTTTTGGACACGTTCAAATTTACCCCCATTTTGGCACTCCACTGGATTGTCTCTCGGAAACAAAGGAGCTCTGAACTAGATTAAGGAATTAACTATGACGTAAGTTCAGGAACACGTGAATTAAGCTACAAGTAAACAAGTGTGAAGTTCCTTGAATATTAAATCCAATTCGCAAACTTAAACAGCTGTAGAAACTAAAATAAGTTGAAGTGAGGTG